AATTCTGAGAGTTGAAGTCCACTCATCTTAAAGTGGCCAAGTTTGGACAACACTGCCCTAGAGCAAGTGGATAATGCCTGTACCTTGGTAAAATGGGGACCAGAGATGGGAAAATGGATGGCAAAATTTCAAGATACATTCTATGTACCGATAGAATGGTGGCCTGTTCTGCAGAATGAATGTTTGCCAAACAAAGTGAGAATGGCTGTGAATAAAAGTATGCTTCTGCCCATTTTGTTATACGGGAATGGGAGTTGGGTGTGTCAGGAGGAAAGGTGAATGCAGCAGGAATGGGTGATTCAGTGTGAAACAAGAAGGGGTAGGGTCACGCATGAATGCATGCCGGCTCAATATACAAGGAAACGACCAATGCAGAAGAGCACAGGGTGGTGGTTCGGTCATAAAAGAGAGAGTGAATGAAGACAGAACTGCAAAAGAGCCAGTGAAAAAGAAGAGAAAGTCTGAGAAAGTTGTGGCCGGATGGAGATGCTGAGATCCTGGGAGAAAAAAGGTCATTGAGAAAACTACAGAACAAAAGGCCACGTGTGAAGCTGTGGACAGATGCAGTCAAAGCAAGGCTGGTTTGTGAACTACAGCAAATGCTGTTGATGTAAATTAGTTTCAGCTATGTTGCTTTTCTATTTTTTAAATGTCTTCATCTATGGCTCACTATTTCTTATTCCTTTACTGTGCTCCGTGTTACACTGGTGACCCCAAAGAGGTATAGCATGATGGGTGTATATCTGTGTATGTAGGTAAGGGAGAGCACACACATACAGAACTTCTTTTCCTAAGCACCACGCTCACATCTTGCTTTCCCCATCCAGTGAGCTCCTGTCAATTCAAAGGAGACATACACACATGTAACTTGCACAGACATAGGAAGATCAAGTTCACACAGGTACATAGCGAATTTTCTTCCCCAATTAATGCAAAGAGAAAGCAAATGAATGAGAGAATGTAACAAAGGGTTGGGGAAATTACCTATGATGGGAACTTCGGCTATGAACACTCGCCTGATGGAATTCGCGACTCTGGAATGAAAAAGCACCTATTTATCGCACCTAAACTGCAACCACCTGAGTTGTATTTCTGAGTACTATGACATCATATTGTAACGGTGAGGAATATCAAAATGATATAATCGTTTTGTGTTTCAGAGGTGCTGAACAAAACTTTAAGGGTGAGAGCCAGCACCTTGAACCGCATCCGGAAGGCAAGTGGAAGCCAGCGCAGCCGCGGGGCACCCAAAACTGCGCCTGCCGCGGCCTGCGGGCCAGTGGCAGCTTCCGGGTGGTCTTCAAGGGCAGCCCCACGTAGAGCGCATGGCGCCATCCAAACGGGAGGTGACTGAGGCTCGGGTG